ACATTAAGGTCCTGGAGTGGCCTAGCCAGTCTCCAGACCTTAATCCCATAGAAAATCTGTGGAGGGAGCTGAAGGTTCGAGTTGCCAAACGTCAGCCTCGAAACCTTAATGACTTGGAGAAGATCTGCAAAGAGGAGTGGGACAAAATCCCTCCTGAGATGTGTGCAAACCTGGTGGCCAACTACAAGATACATCTGACCTCTGTGATTGCCAACAAGGGTTTTGCCACCAAGTACTAAGTCATGTTTTGCAGAGGGGTCAAATACTTATTTCCATCATTAAAATGCAAATCAATTTATAACATTTTTGATATTAGTTTTTCTGGATTTTTTTGTTGTTATTCTGTCTCTCACTGTTCAAATAAACCTACCATTAAAATTATAGACTGATCATGTCTTTGTCAGTGGGAAAACGTACAAAATCAGCAGGGGATCAAATACTTTTTCCCCTCACTGTATACTGTTAGCACTGAGGCAGTTTACCCTAGTAGGAAGTCCACTGTGTGCAGCTCACCCTGCACTATCAGCTCAAAAATATCACTGTCATGCCTACCTCTGATAAGCGTCCCAGTAAAGCAATAAAAACAATTAAGCATCCCAGAAAAGTGTTAAAAATAGCCCACATTAACATAAGAAACAAGGTTAATGAAATCAATGACTTGCTAGTAACAGATAACATTTGAGTCATTTAGCAGACGCTCTTATCCAGAGCGACTTACAGTTAGTGAGTGCATACATTTTCATACTGGCCCCCCGTGGGAAACGAACCCACAACCCTGGCGTAGCAAGCGCCATGCTCTACCAACTGAGCTACAGGGGACTACTGATATACTGACTCTCTCTGAAACTCACTGATATAATACCTTTGATGTTACAGTGGTAGAAATACATGGTTTCAACATCTTCAGAAGAGACAGGAATGCCAGTGGTGGAGGTGTTGCCATATACACTACCGGTCAAAAGTTTGGACACACCTACTCATTCAAGGGTTTTTCTTTATTTTTTACAATTGTTTACATTGTAGAATAATAGTGAAGACATCAAAACTATGAAATAACACATATGGAATCATGTAGTAACCAAAAAAGTGTTAAACAAATCAAAATATATTTTATATTTGAGATTCTTCAAATAGCCACCCTTTGCCTTGATGACAGCTTTGCACACTCTTGGCATTCTCTCAACCAGCTTCACCTGGAATGCTTTTCCAACAGTGCCTGGCTGGCACACTAAAGTCTGTGTGTCAGAGATAGAAACTACTGGTCACCAGGCAGGCTAATTGGCTGCTAGGACAAGATGTTGATACGCCACTAAGTCACTCAACTACATCCCCCAGGGGCCCTACTTCCTGCTTTCTGATTGGACACAGGAACCAGGAAATCAAATAAATCTGATAACATTTGGCAGCAGTAAAAAAAAAAATCAGACCGAGGAAAATATAATTAACACTCATATTAACTTCAAAACCCATGTACTATAAGACCATCTCTAATCAATAGAGTAAGAGCAAACTCTGAAATGGGAAAGATAATCTGATAATTTTAAGTGGAGAAAATTATAGAAACAGAGTACAAGGATTTACTTCACACGATCACAAGTGTGGGTGAGATAACTGCCAGCTCAGAGTCTTCTATCTGTTAGGTATTGAGTGTGAATGCTAGCAAGTTCCGTTGTTGAACCCCAAGGAGTCCATTACATGATAAAGTAATTAGTCAGCGAGACAGAGGGAGTATTGATATATAAATGGACATGCATATCCTGTGAGAAAATCTATTTTTCAAAAAAAGTTAATTCCTTCACTTCCTTGAGTTCTAAAAAGTTCATCAATTGGTCAGTAGATCGATATATAGACTTCGCAGAAGGAAGTGGATTAGGGAAGTCAATGTTCACATGATATAAGATAAAGGCCAAGCACCAGCCAGTGGAGGTTCCTGCAGGAAAGTAAAAGAGAATGGAAATCCATAGAAACATTTTAAAATCTCCTTGTAAATACAGCTATACTCAATATTCTCATGTCACCAAATATCTGTATTACATAGCTAAGAATACACAAAAAAATACAGTAGGGCTTTAATTGAATGTAAGCAAGCATGTCACAGTATAAACATAATTAAGAAGACATACAGTCTTTGTACATTAGTCTGCCTTATCAATATCCTATTGTGGGACTTCCTGGTTAAATAAAGGTTAAATAGTCTACTGCTTTGATCTCAACTTATACAAGTAATCTGTTCACAGAACATATCAACATTTAAAAACTCTGCTTAGTAACAAAATACCTTTAACAGGAAAGATCTTGGTCTTCAAATGCAATATTTATTACCTGTTCTACTACCCTCAACAATGTGTATGAATGTTAAGGGGCTTTGTCTGTTTATTCCTCTTAGAGAATAGGCCTACATTTCATATATGAGTGCAGTGTGGGAAATTGATACTGCTGTAAATGAATCACAGTAAAAAATTAAACCTTGTAGCAAGCTGGAAGTTTTTAATTAACTTTTGCCACAGCATCTCTATGAGTCACTATCCCTAACCCCTGACACACCATCCATCCATCCTCACAGCATTTAAATAGCTTCACCACCCCTTGAAAAATCTGTTTACAAGATACCTAATAATTACAAAATCATCTCTCCACTCTTATTAAAAAAGGTGGCTAAAACAAGTAGCATGAAAGCAAGCAAAAGCAGAGATACTGCTAGAATGCACTCCATCCAACCCCCACCCAATAGTATAGCATTTCAATAGCTTCACCCATCCTTGAAAGCTGTTTACAAGAACCAAATAATTATACAATTATCTCCACTAATTAAAAAAGGGTGGCTAAAATGACTAGCAAAAACACAAAATCAGGGACACTGCTTTAATGAACCCCATCCAACTCACTCCAATTCACATCCGAAACACAGTACATCAGTACAACAGTACACCTCACCCCAACCCAGTATGCAAATGTTACTGTGAGGGAGGATCTTTTACATTCCCTTGCCATAATCCCATCCCATTTCCTCCACACAAAATCAGGGATACTACTACTATGGACTCCATCCAACCCCAACCCTAAATAACCCCATTCTCTAGTAGTAGACCTCACCCCAGATCAATGTGTGAATGTTACTGTGAGGGTGTCTAACAGTCCTTCCCATAATCCATTCCCATTTTCTTCCCACACCTCTGGCAGGCAGGCAGATATGCAGATATACTGGACACACACAGACACACAGACACACGCACACGCACACGCACACGCACACGCACACGCACACGCACACACACACACACACACACACACACACACACACACACACACACACACACACACACCTGTGTGCAGACAGATATGCTAGAGTCTAACCCTTTTCTTCCTGGCATACTGTGGAGCTTAAGGATTTAGGGATGTGGAGGAATAGAGGATTTCAGATTGCAGTGAGGCAGAGAGAAAGAAAAAAAGAAAGCCATAAAATGCAGCTATCAAAAAATAAGAGAGATGGGAACCCTGCCTTTAATCTCCTTGTAGTTGGCCTGTTGTATTACTGTTCAATTATACTAGATCAAATATTATGATCATTTAATTATGTTCTGCTGTGAACATTTGCATTTCTTGTGAACAGTGAAATTGTGTGAACATGAGATTCACCACTGGAAATGACTGCGGGTTTCCAATGGACAGCCTTTCAAATATAATTTCACTTTGGAAGTTTGGAAGTGAAATTGCTATCCAAAGCCTATTTTATTTTGGAACTTTAGAATGTAATTTTGACAGTAATATCAGGCTTTCACAGCTGTCTAATGTTTGTGTAAACTTCAATCAGATATGTAATGATAGGGCTCTTCTCCTAACAAAAGACCCATGTCTAGGAGTTGGCATATTACAGCTCACCTGATCTCCCCCATCTTCAATAGCAGCGTGACTCTGAGTCACTCTCCATTGCTGTGGCTCCCCTCTTGTTCCCAGGGAAATATCAGCTGTCATGTCGATGTGTTGGAGGGAGAGCCTGTGAGTAATTGAGGGGCATAGGGCAGGGATAGCACCGCTGCTCCCTGCCTTCCTCAGGGATTGCCCTTTGCAGAAAATGAGCCAAGCAGTACACGCCAATCATTTTTATTCAATTGATGACAGTGGATCGTTAAGGCTCTTGAAAGATTTAAATCCAAAAGGTCGACCTTGGCTTATCATTGAACACTCTCCTTGTTGCATTGTGGACAGCAACATGTGTAATTCAATATGTAATACAACATTACTAATACAGTACAACTCATGTTGTGCACAGTAGACAGTGTATTTGGTATCTCTCGTATCGTGCCATTAGCTCTGTGCAAAAGTGGAACTCCTTGTGGTTTATTTCCAGCGATGAGTCGATTCGTAACAGCCAGTAGAGAGTGCATACATCCGTCTAATGACAAGGTTTCTATGGAAACCAGGTTAGATTCTGAAGGCACTTGAAGTGAAAAACCCCCAGGCTTGAGTTTGGTCTGACTCTTCTTCAAAACAAAGCTTAATTCAATTTGTGGGCCATTCTGAAAGGCTGCATATGCTTCAGCCAAGGCCCAGCTTGGTAGAACTCTCTATTGGGATGGAAGCAGTTCTCAGCCAGCCCTTTTCATCTTTCATCGTTCTTCCATTGAAATACTTTACAATATAGGCTTTTACTGGGCCTACTGGTGCCGGCGTTGAGCTTGATGTTGATATAATTGTATGTTGGAGCTTCTGAGCTTTCCAGACAAAACAATATTAATAATTTTGAATTATGAATCCTTAAAATAAATATAAATCCAGAAACATAACATATTCTTTCATATGGTATTTTTATATAAAGCCTTTGTAGGCTTGAACACATGGCTTGATGTTGTGGAAATATTAGGGTGGAATCACAGTTACATGTACCACTACTGTACTAGCTGTCCTTAGTCTTTACTGTCGCTTGACCTTTCTCATTTGCATAATATTGTAATCAAAACATGATTTACCATACAAAAGGTGCAGAGGTGTAATCTATAAGCATGGCCCTGTGGGACGGTAAGAACCGTATACCCTCTCCTCTCACCTGTGCTAACCCTACCTTCCTTATTTTTCTTCTTCTTCTTCAATTAGGTTTAATGGCCGTTGGCCTCCAATATGTTGCATTACCGCCACCAACTTGACTGGTGTATAAATCCATTATACACTACATGACCAAAAGTCTGTGGACACCAGCTCGTCGAACATCTCATTCCAAAATCATGGGCATTAACATAGAGTTGGTCCCCCCTTTGCTGCGATAACAGCCTCCACTCTTCTGGGAAGGCTTTCCAATAGATATTGGAACATTGCTGCAGGGACTTGCTTCCATCTACCACAAGAGCATTAATGAGGTCAGGCACTGATGTTGGGCGATTAGGCCTGGCTTGCTGTCGGCGTTCCAATTCATCCAAAAGGTGTTCAATGGGGTTGAGGTCAGGGCCAGGTCAGGTCAATGCAGGCCAGTTAAGTTCTTCCACACCAATCTCGACAAACCATTTCTGTATGGACCTCGCGTTGTGCACGGGGCCATTGTAACGCTGAAAAAGGAAAGGTACTTCCCCAAACTGTTGCCACAAAGTTGAAAGCACAGAATTGACACACAATTAATTTTCTCCTTTCCCCCTTCTGATAACTGTGGTGAACTGTAGAGTTTAATGGACTATGAGGTAGAACTGGGTTAATCAAGAGCATAACGTTAGAATTCTTTGTTACTGGTCCAGGAATTGTATTGGGTCATTTAATTTCACTGTGTGGGTGAGTAGAGAGGGAATCTGCCCTAGATTCAAACTGCTTGCTCTTACTTAAATCCATGGCTGTCTTATCTGATGAGAGATTGAAACTAGCTTGTGGCCTTTTGTCTCTCTCTTCAAACACCGTGAAGGGAGCGGCAACAGGGTTGAATGGAGTTAAGGCTAGACCTTTGTCTCCTTGGTATCTTCTTGATTGATTACAGCATGATGGGGTGAGGTTTGTGTATGTTAGGGCCTTGTCATGTTTAAACTAAACATGAGTGTGTGTGCAAGACAGGGGAGTGAGTGATTGGTTGGAGTATTATGTGCATAATAAAAGTCGAGTTTAGCCGCCCTCAGAGACAAAGGGTGATAAAGAGCGGGAAACTGAAGAGGGAGGGATATAGAGCTGGAAGAGTTGGGGATGATGGTATATAATGTGACGTGAGAGAGAGAGAACGGGGTGCCACTCTGCAGACTGGTATCGGCTTTGTTGAAACTTTAATAAAGTAATTTCTTGATGCAACAAAAACTCTGTAAGACCTTATTTGTAATAAAGTATAGTGGTTATTTTCCACAACATAACCAGGTGGCGAATCGCATCACTGCATGTCTGGTAGACATATCAGTGTGGATGTCGGATCACCACCTCAAGCTGAACCTCGGCAAGATGGAGCTGCTCTTCCTCCCGGGGAAGAACTGCCCGCTCCATGATCTCGCCATCACGGTTGGCAACTCCATTGTGTCCTCCTCCCAGAGTGCAAAGAACCTTGGCGTGACCCTGGACAACACCCTGTCGTTCTCCGCTAACATCAAAGCGGTGACCCGATCCTGCAGGTTCATGCTCTACAACATTTGCAGAGTACGACCCTACCTTACACAGAAAGCGGCACAGGTCCTAATCCAGTCACTTGTCATCTCCCGTCTGGATTACTGCAACTCGCTGTTGGCTCGGCTCCCTGCCTGTGCCATTAAACCCCTACAACTTATCCAGAACGCTGCAGCCCGTCTGGTGTTCGACCTTCCCAAGTTCTCTCATGTCACCCCGCTCCTCCGCACACTCCACTGGCTTCCAGTTGAGGATCGCATCTACTACAAGACCATGGTGCTTGCCTACGGAGCTGTGAGGGGAACGGCATCTCCTTACCTTCAGGCTCTGATCAGACCCTACACCCAAATGAGGGCACTACGTTCATCCACCTCTGGCCTGCTAGCTTCCCTACCTCTACGGGAGCACAGTTCCCGCTCATCCCAGTCAAAGCTATTTGCTGCTCTGGCACCCCAATGGTGGAACAAGCTCCCCCACGACGCCAGGACAGCGGAGTCACTGACCACCTTCCAGAGACACTTGAAACCCTACCTCTTTAAGGAATACCTGGAATAGTATAAAGTAATCCTTCTATCTCCCCCCCCATACAAAAAAAAGAAGAAAAAAAGTGCTTGTCCCACTGGCTATCATAAGTTGAATGCACCAATTTGTAAGTCGCTCTGGATAAGAGCGTCTGCTAAATGATGTAAATGTAAATGTAGAATATCATTGTATGCTGTAGCGTTAAGATTTCCCTTCACTGGAACTAAGGGGCCTAGCCCGAACCATGAAAAACAGCCGCAGATGATTATTCCTCCGCTACCAAACTTTAACGTTGGCACTATGCATTGGGGCAGGTAGCGTTCTCCTTGCATCCGCCAAACCCAGATTAGTCCGTCGGACTGCCAGATTGTGAAGCGTGATTCATCACTCCAGAAAACGCGTTTCCACTGCTCCAGAGTCCAATGGTGGCCAGATTTACACCACTCCAGCCAACGCTTGGCATTGCGCATGGTGATCTTAGGTTTTTGTGTGGCTGCTCGGCCATGGAAACCCATTTCATGATTCTCCCAACTAACAGTTTCTGTGCTGACGTTGCTTCCAGAGGCCGTTTGGAACTCGGTAGTGAGTGTTGCAACCGAGGACAGAAGATTTATACGCGCTATGCGCTTCAGCACTCAACAGTCCAGTTCTGTGAGCTTGTGTGGCCTACCACTTCGCGGCTGAGCCATTGTTGCTCCTAGATGTTTCCACTTCACAATAACAGCACTTACAGTTGACCGGGGCAGCTCTAGCAGGGCAGAAATTTGACGAAATGACTTGTTGGAAAGGTGGCATCCTATGACGCTGCCACTTTGAAAGTCACTGAGCTCTTCAGTGAGGCCATTCTACTGACAATGTTTGTCTATGGAAATTGCATGGCTGTGTGCTTGATTTTATACACCTGTCAGCAACAGGTGTGGCTGAAATAGCCGAATCTGCAATGTCATACTCTTTTTGACCAGACAGCATCTGATAGATGGGCTACACATACTGAGAATGAGGGGTGCTGTTTCTCCGGTGAGATACATTCAGCCTCTTGCGACTTGAAGGGAAATTATAAAACACAGTGAAACGAAAGATACAGTGGCTTGCGAAAGTATTCACCCCCTTGGCATTTTTCCTATTTTGTTGCCTTACAACCTGGAATTAAAATGGATTTTCTGGGGGTTTGTATCATTTGATTTACACAACATGCCTACCCCCCCCCCCCCCCCCCCCCCCCTTTGACTAGGCCATTCCAAGACATTTAAATGTTTCCCTGTAAACCACTCGAGTGTTGCTTTAGCGGTATGCTTAGGGTCATTGTCCTGCTGGAAGGTGAACCTCCGTCCCAGTCTCAAATCTCTGGAAGACTAAAACAGGTTTCCCTCAAGAATTTCCCTGTATTTGGCACCATCCATCATTCTTTCAATTCTGACCAGTTTCCCAGTCCCTGCCGATTAAAAACATTCCCACAGCATGATGCTGCCACCACCGTGCTTCACTGTGGGGATGGTGTTCTCGGGGTGATGAGAGGTGTTGGGTTTGCCCCAGACATAGCGTTTTCCATGATGGCCAAAAAGCTCAATTTTAGCTCATCTGACCAGAGTACCTTCTTCCATATGTTTGGGGAGTCTCCCGCATGGCTTTTGGCGAACACCAAGCGTGTTTGCTTATTTTTTTCTTTAAGCAATGGCTTTTTTCTGGCCACTCTTCCGTAAAGCCCAGCTCTGTGGAGTGTATGGCTTAAAGTGGTCCTATGGACAGATACTCCAATCTCCGCTGTGGAGCTTTTCAGCTCCTTCAGGGTTATCTTTGGTCTCTATGTTGCCTCTCTGATTAATGCCCTCCTTGCCTGGTCCGTGAGTTTTGGTGGGCGGCCCTCTCTTGGCAGGTTTGTTGTGGTGCCATATTCTTTAAATGTTTTTATAATGGATTTAATGGTGCTCCGTGGGATGTTCAAAGTTTGAGACTTTTTTTTATAACCCAACCCTGATCTGTACTTCTCCACAACTTTGTCCCTGACATGTTTAGAGAGCTCCTTGGTCTTCATGGTTCCGCTTGCTTGGTGGTGCCCCTTGCTTAGTGGTGTTGCAGATTCTGTGACCTTTCAGAACAGGTGTATATATACTGAGATCATGTGACACTTAGATTGCACACATGTGGACTTTATTTAACTAATTATGTGACTTCTGAAGGTAATTGGTTGCACCAGATCTTATTTAGGGGCTTCATAGCAAAGGGGGTGAATACATATGCACGCACCACTTTTCCGTTATTTATTTTTTAGAATTATTTGAAACAAGTAATTTTTTTCATTTCACTTTACCAATTTGGACTATTTTGTGTATGTCCATTACATGAAATCCAAATAAAAATCAATTTCAATTATAGGTTGTAATGTAAACAAAGTAGGAAAAACAGCAAGAGGGATAAATACTTTTGCAAATTTTTTGGTACATTTTTGGGGGAAGTCTGGCTTCCCTTGGCATCCATCACGCCACTACTATTCCTGCTCTTTTCCCATGATCCATCAAACGCATTTAGTGTGTCATGGTCAACTTACACTTTTTTCAATGCTTATTTGAATGTCATTGAGAAAACAGAAAGGTGTCAAAGATTTTTTTGAATTTCTGTATTTAAAATTAATCATAGAAGTAATCATCAACTTTTTAAAAAAAAGTGTCTGTAATCTGATTACAATATTTTTGCTGGTAACATAACGGATTACAGGGATTATTTTTTTTTTTTTACATGTAATCCGTTACTCCCCAACGCTGACTGTCTCTAGTGTGGACATTACATCACACACAGAGCAAATAGAACTTCACTGCCCACTGTCTATACAGTGGGGGAAAAAAGTATTTAGTCAGCCACCAATTGTGCAAGTTCTCCCACTTAAAAATATGAGAGAGGCCTGTAATTTTCATCATAGGTACACGTCAACTATGACAGACAAAATGAAAAAAAAAATCTCCAGAAAATCACATTGTAGGATTTTTAATGAATTTATTTGCAAATTATGGTGGAAAATAAGTATTTGGTCAGCAACAGTTTTCACACACTGTTGCTGGTATTTTGGCCCATTCCTCCATGCAGATCTCCTCTAGAGCAGTGATGTTTTGGGGCTGTCGCTGGGCAACACGGACTTTCAACTCCCTCCAAAGATTTTCTATGGGGTTGAGATCTGGAGACTGGCTAGGCCACTAAAGGACCTTGAAATGCTTCTTACGAAGCCACTCCTTCGTTGCCCGGGCGGTGTGTTTGGGATCATTGTCATGCTGAAAGACCCAGCCACGTTTCATCTTCAATGCCCTTGCTGATGGAAGGAGGTTTTCACTCAAAATCTCACGATACATGGCCCCATTCATTCTTTCCTTTACACGGATCAGTCGTCCTGATCCCTTTGCAGAAAAACAGCCCCAAAGCATGATGTTTCCACCCCCATGCTTCACAGTAGGTATGGTGTTCTTTGGACTCAACTCAGCATTCTTTGTCCTCCAAACACGACGAGTTGAGTTTTTACCAAAAAGTTATATTTTGGTTTCATCTGACCATATGACATTCTCCCAATCCTCTTCTGGATCATCCAAATGCACTCTAGCAAACTTCAGACGGGCCTGGACATGTACTGGCTTAAGCAGGGGGACACGTCTGGCACTGCAGGATTTGAGTCCCTGGCGGAGTAGTGTGTTACTGATGGTAGGCTTTGTTACTTTGGTCCCAGCTCTCTGCAGGTCATTCACTAAGTCCCCCCGTGTGGTTCTGGGATTTTTGCTCACCGTTCTTGTGATCATTTTGACCCCACGGGGTGAGATCTTGCGTGGAGCCCCAGATCGAGGAAGATTATCGGTGGTCTTGTATGTCTTCCATTTCCTAATAATTGCTCCCACAGTTGATTTCTTCAAACCAAGCTGCTTACCTATTGCAGATTCAGTCTTCCCAGCCTGGTGCAGGTCTACAATTTTGTTTCTGGTGTCCTTTGACAGCTCTTTGGTCTTGGCCATAGTGGAGTTTGGAGTGTGACTGTTTGAGGTTGTGGACAGGTGTCTTTTATACTGATAACAAGTTCAAACAGGTGCCATTAATACAGGTAACGAGTGGAGGACAGAGGAGCCTCTTAAAGAAGAAGTTACAGGTCTGTGAGAGCCAGAAATCTTGCTTGTTTGTAGGTGACCAAATACTTATTTTCCACCATAATTTGCAAATAAATTCATTACAAATCCTACAATGTGATTTTCTGGATTAGTTTTTCTCAATTTGTCTGTCATAGTTGGCGTGTACCTATGATGAAAATTACAGGCCTCTCTCATATTTTTAAGTGGGAGAACTTGCACAATTGGTGGCTGACTAAATACTTTTTTTCCCCACTGTAGCTGTTGGCCTACACCATTGTCTCTATTGTGTACATTACATTACCCAGCAAATAGAGCTCTGCTAACTGTATGCCAATGGTTTACTGTGCAATAGTCTCTCATGACAGACTGTCAGCACACTCAGATTTGCTTCCGTGTTCCAATGATCAAATGTGCGATTACATTGTCATATAGGGAAATTAAGTACTTCGTATAATAACAACCAATTGATAATGAGTTAAATATCATGAGTGGTTACATATCATGAAACGGCTACATTATACATTCCAAAGCCATCATATAGCATTTCAGCTACATAAAACGTCCATTCTATGCTCACGTCAGATAGCCTACATAAACCATCAATCTACAATCTTCTCATTTTTTGTCACAGTTAACGAGAAATGTGCCAGTGACAGGTCTTTGTGAAGAACTGTGTAGAATGGTAGATGACAAGGAGGAGTCATAGCTGAGGATGATGGTGAAATCCCATCAGAGCAGAGGCACAAATCCCCCAGTCTAGGAAATCCGGTCTCCATCTTGGATAAGCCCAAAGCGCTCCGAACTGGATCCAATTTACTAAATGCTTTGATGGAGAGTTCTGAACATGAGAGTTTTTCATTTGAGTAAAAATTTACATCTTGAAACATGGAGCTATCTGAGGCCATTTGAAAGTTATAACTGTATTCTAAATTCTGTAAGGCATGCGTAAAGAGATCTTCATTATACCTAATAATACTACAATACCACTGTCTTAGAGTTTGATGTAGAGTGTGAAAGGATTCTGAAAGGATTAAATTTATAAAATAAAAAAAGCAATGCTCCATATTGATGATTGTCAAAAACTGGATATTCAACCCATGTTTCATTTGAACCACTTACACATCTCCCTGTATAAATATTATATCATCTACATATTGAAGGCTATAATGGAACTCTTGAACAAATAGAATCTAACCTCCAGTGTTCTTGTTGAACATATGCTCATATTTGTCCATTAAACTGAGAAACAGTTGAGCCAGCTGATTTTCTAAAAGGAACAAACTAAATCTTCCTTGAAGCAGGTCTAACGGTTAGCAGGGAATTACAGTATGTTGAAAATGGAGTCAGAATACACTCAGAAAGCCCCAAGATGCTCAGAAACTCTTCTGTGTGAATTATTGCAGATAAATCAGGGTATTCAAGACTGCAGCAGCATAGAACGAACGCTGCAGCGAACCCAAAGAAGTAAAAGTCAAATTTCCACAGTATGGAAACGTTGTCAAGTATCAGGTGGAGAAAAATAATTACATTGCGTCAAGAATATATTTATAACGTTTTGGCGAGTGTACCCCCGGGCAAAGCCAAGCCAACAATGTGGTGCTTTTTCTTCATCTTCTCAATTCATTTATGAATGTTTGTCCTTGGTGCTGCCTGCTAGCATTCTTGGTGGCTCTCCAGGTCTTTGGATCCCATATTCATAATATTGACAAATAAATGAGTTTGAGAGGCTGTTCCAAGCCCACCCCACCCCCCTACTCATTTTCACATCCACACACACATACAGATATACAACACAGTGTCACGCCCTGACTCAGGGGACTCTTATATGTTGAGTCAGGGTGTGTATATTCTTTGTTGTGTATGTTCTATGTTGTATATTCTAGTATGTGTGGATCTATGTTGGCCGGTGTGGTTCCCAATCAGAGGCAGCTGTCGCTCGTTGTCTCTGATTGGGGACCATACTTAGGCAGCCTATGGGCACTATTGAGTTGTGGGATCTTGTTCCGTGTAAGGTATGTTGTGTGTATCTACCTTAGGACTTCACGTTTCGTTTCGTTTATTGTTTTGTCGTGTGTTTATTTAGTTAAATAAACATGTACGTATATCACGCTGCGCCTTGGTCTGTCCCGTCATTAAACGAACGTGACAGAAGATCCCACCAAACGAGGACCAAGCAGCGTGCCCAGGCGGAGAGGATGGCCATGTCACAGGTGGCCAATTTGTGGTCATGGGAGGAGATATTTGCGGGGAGAGGACCATGGGCTAAGTTAGATGCCCAGGCAGGAGAGGAGCAACGGCAACACGGAGGAGGCCGGTCGAGGAGGAAGCCCGAGAAGCAGCCCCAATAAAACATTTTTGGGGGGCACACGGGGTGGTTGGCGGAGCCTAGGGTTAGAGCAGAGCCAACTCCCTGTACTCACGCGAAGAGGCGTATGACTGGGCAAGCTCCGTGTTATGCGGGGCTACATACTGTGTCGCCAGTGCGCCGGCACAGTCCTGTACGTCCTGTACTTGCACCACGCACGTGCCGTGCGAAGATGGGCATCCAGCCAGGACGGGGTGTGCCGGCTCAACGCTCCTGGTCTCCAGTACACCTCCTCGGTCCAGCATATCCTGCGCCAGTTCTTCGAACTGTATCACCAGTGCGCGTGCACAGCCCAGTGCGTCCTGTGCCAGCACCCCGCACGTGTAGTGCAAAAGTGGGCAGCCAGCCAGGACGGGTTGTGCCAGCTCTCCGCTCTAGACCTCCAGTCCGCCTCCACAGTCCGGCCCGGCCTGTTCCTGCTCCTCGCACCAAGCCAGTGGTGCGCGTCACCAGCCCGGCCCGGCCTGTTCCTGCTCCTCGCACCAAGCCAGTGGTGCGCGTCGCCAGTCAGGCCCCGCCCATTCCTGCCCCTCGCACCAAGCCAGTGGTGTGCGTCACCAGTCCGGCTCGGCCTGTTCCTGCTCATCGCACCAAGCCAGTGGTGCGCGTCGCCAGCCCGGCCCGGTCCGTTCCTGTCCCTCGCACCAAACCAGTGGTGCATGTTCCTAGTCCGGTCCGGCCCATGCCTGCTCCTCGCACCAGACCAGTGGTGCGTTTGTCCAGTCCGGCACGGCCTGTGCCCTTTCCACCGATGCATGGTCCGGCACCGGTCAGCTGCTCCACTCCGGAGCCAGAGCAGTCCGCTCCACCGATGCCTGATCCAGTGCCGGTCAGCTGTTCCACTCCGGAGCAGTCCGCTCCACCGGGGTCCAGTCCAGCTCCGGTCAGCTGCTCCACTCCGGAGCCAGAGCAGTCCGCTCCACCGGTGCCTGATCCAGCTCCGGTCAGCTGCGCCACTCCGGAGCCAGAGCAGTCCGCTCCACCGGGGTCCAGTCCAGCTCCGGTCAGCGGCTCCACTCCGGAGCCAGAACAGTCCGCTCCACCGGTGCCCAGTCCAGCTTCGGTCAGCGGCTCCAGTCCAGACCATGACATCAGCCCCTCTCCAGGTTCGGGGTCTCCCACACCAGGGTCCAGACAGGGCCTGGTGTATCGTGGGAGGAAGGGGAGGAGAAGCAGCGCGCCAAAGTCCAGACCAGACCAGGGGCGCAACAGGGAGGCGGAGAGTGAGAGGTCGTCACGCCCCGAGCCGGATCCGCCTCCGAGGCGGAATGCCCACCCGGCCCCTACCCTGTTAGGTTTATGTTGTGCGGTCGGAGTCCGCACCTTTGGGGGGGGGGTACTGTCACGCCCTGACTCAGGGGACTCTTATATGTTGAGTCAGGGTGTGTATATTCTTTGTTGTGTATGTTCTATGTTGTATATTCTAGTATGTGTGGATCTATGTTGGCCGGTGTGGTTCCCAATCAGAGGCAGCTGTCGCTCGTTGTCTCTGATTGGGGACCATACTTAGGCAGCCTATGGGCACTATTGAGTTGTGGGATCTTGTTCCGTGTAAGGTATGTTGTGTGTATCTACCTTAGGAGTTCACGTTTCGTTTCGTTTATTGTTTTGTCGTGTATTTATTTAGTTGAATAAACATGTACGCATATCACGCTGCGCCTTGGTCTGTCCCGTCATTAAACGAACGTGACACACAGACAGTCATTCAGTGATGCAACTTATCTCCAGAGAGAGTTTTTGACACTGTGGCACATCTCCCAAGAGTTTGTTGCTATTGAAATAGATTATTTATAATTTATCAGAGTTAACTGTAATTACTTTTTAACTCAGTTGCATGGTCCATTTTTCAGACCACTGATACTGCGATACCAATCTACTGTGTTACTGTGTTGCAGCACTGCGCATACCAATCTACTGTGCCATATTTTGTATTTCAATCTAATTGACTCTGATTCTCTCTGTTTCTCTCTCACTGTCACTACCATCTGTTTGTCCATATTGTGTGATCCTGCATTTTGTCCTTGCGGCTCCGCTCCAGACGTCACTTTTGGCCTCCTCCTCGGTGTGTTTGTGGTGTGTGGCTTGGTCCTGCTGACTCTCTGTGCCTTCGCCTCCTGGAAGCTGTGCTGGGTGCCTTATTTGCGGAATAAAGAGGCAGCAGCCCTCTCCTCCAGCTCTGCAGCCCTCAACCCGGCCTGCGGTCCCCCAGACGACTGCCCCCCCTTCCACCTCCATCTCCACCCTCCTCACCCCCTCCACCACCACCAGCGCAAGTTCCTCCCCAGCCCCAACCAGCAGAAGTCACCGGTCACCATGGCTACGGATAAGGTGAAAGACCCGATGGGTTCCATGGGATTCCTGGAGGCTGCTGTGAAGATAAGCCACACGTCGCCTGACATCCCCGCCGAGGTGGAGCTCTCGATGAGGGAGCACTTTTTGAGGCGCACGCAACGCATGCAGCGGCAGGCCACTGAGCCCGCTTCCTCCACCAGGTTAGAACAAATGGTCATAGACACACACACACACACACACACATGCTCTCTCACAGAAACACACACACACACAGAGGCATGGTCAGAAAAACTGAATGGCTCTGGTAGAAATATCAAAAGTCAGTTTAAAGAACCCCCTCATAGAAACCTGACATGTACACAGGGACAGTACAGGCCAAATCTCCACATAATGGCAACAAAGATAGAAAATCTACCTGAATCCACTTGAGTATTTCACAGCCACACACACATACACACACACGCACACATACATACACACGCACACACACACACACAAACACACACATACAGTACAGTACACACATACACAGAGGCATGGTCAGAAAAACTGAATTGGTCAGGTAGTCAGCAGAAATATCTATAGTCAGTTATAAAGAAATGTCATAGGGACCTCACAAATCTCCTAATAACGGCACTAACAAAGTTATGAATTAACTTTTATCTGAATTCAATTTGTTATTCTACAGCTGTTTGAAAATACAATTTCTACATGATTATCTTAGTGAAAAGACTATTATGTTTCAATTTGTTTCGGTTCTCCCAAGCCCTTGTATTACTTTCAGCCTGTGAGCCATTTGGTGCTGTTCATTTAAAATAAGGTCACTAATATCTCCAGACCACTTCATGAGAAGTAATGCAATACACTTAAAAGCGTACAATCACCAGAAAAACAATCCCACAGACATTATTCTACATAGCCACAACTACAATGGGGGGTCTAATTATTGGATGTACCTCGAATAGTTTTGCAATAATATAATCTCTGTGCCCTGTTGTCTTGAAATACCCATACCCATCCTGAATAACAACCCCCTAAGATGAGGACAGTTTATACTACTGACTAAGATACATTGGGCGGCAGGTAGCTTAGTGGTTAAGAGCGTTGTGCCAGTAACCGAAAGGTCGCTGGTTCTAATCCCTGAGCCTACTAGGTGAAAATTCTGTTGGTGTGCCCTTGAGCAAGGAGCTAATTGCTCCTGTAAGTCGCTCTGGATAAGAGTGTCTGCTAAATGACAAAAAAAAAAAACATTTAATTTGGGACCATGTAGTTTTAGGTTGCAGAAACACTATTAAGATCGAGAAACCACTTGGAATTGAATTCACCTGCTGGGCACTCAAGCAATTTTTCAAAACACTGACCTTTCCAGACGCCACAATGAAGCTGTTCATATTTCTCCCTCCTCTCCTCTCTCTCTGCCTTTTTACACACAGCCCATCGCTAATACAGGCTGCATGGTTTAGTGGGGTTCTCATATTTTTCCCTCCTCTCTCTTCTGTCTCTGCAGGCACAGCTCATTCAAAAGGCACCTGCCCAGGCAGATGCAGTCGATCAGCCTGGACCTGGGCAACGACTATGCGGACGAGGACGAGCAGCCCACCAGCATCGGACGCATCAAACCAGAACTCTACAGACAGAAGACCTTGGACACAGACGAGTCCGCCAAGAACAGCAACGCCAAGAACTGTGGGAAGATCAACTTCTCGCTGAAGTACGACTATGAGAATGAGGCCCTCCTGGTCAACATCCTCAAGGCCTTCGACCTGCCCGCCAAGGACCTGTGTGGCAGCTCCGACCCCTACGTCAAAATTTATCTTCTCCCAGATCGCAAGAAGTTTCAGACGCGCGTCCACCGGAAGACGCTCAACCCCACGTTTGACGAGTCCTTCCAGTTCCCCGTGCCTTATGACGAGCTGGCCGTTAGGAAGCTCCACATGAGTGTGTTTGACTTTGACAGGTTCTCCAGACATGATATGATCGGGGAGGTGGTGGTGGATAACCTTGTTGAGACGTCAGACCTCTCCAGGGAGACAGACATTTGGAGGGACATTCAGTACGCCACAACTGTAAGAACATCTGTCTGTTTGTCTTTGACTCAAAGCAGAGTCGACATAGCCTGATCCCAGATCTGTTTGTGCTAGAGTTAACATTACTTACATTTGAAAGCAGTTATAATAACGTCATTCAAATCATATGACCCCCCCCCCAGAACAAAAAGATGAACAAATGCGAGTTCAGCGTGTCATAAATCCTTTGTTAAAGTAGGAATTTATTCTAGTCATATGAAATGACAGTAATTATAAGCTAAAGGCATAAAAAGTACTTGTAATCATCGCAAAGGTCATGAAACTGTCTGGGCGAAAAATGTGAGCCCTCCAACGAGATACTGAAGTGGTCATTATATTTGACTGTAATTCTATTTGGACGGTGTCCTGAGGATGTCTTGATGAGTAGTGCACTATGCTGTTGGCATCAGTTTGGATTCTATTGGCGTCTTCATCAATCTGGCATGACTCTGGCATCTCTCTGGCATCTCTCTGGTCTGAGGGGTACCTCTGTCAGATTATTTTATGTGGCCAGTATTGTTGGACTTCAGCTGCCTTAGAAGGGCAGTTCAATAATCCAGTAGTTATTGCTAAAGTGGCAGAAAGCAGTTGGCTCGTTGCTTGACACACACATATTATTGAACAAGGAAAGGACTCCCAGCCAAAACTCCCTCAACCACCATCTTGTATAAAGTAATGTATGCAGTATGCAGACAAGGAAGGTTCTAAATGTAATTGTTGCATTGATGATGCAGTAGCAGGCATAAAGGGGTTGAGGAGTATGTACTAGGCCTACCTGTTATATGAGCCTTGGACTGAATGGAAGTACTGTTTACAAATGGGGGATGCATCAATAACACTGGAATTAGGAAGATCAAGTATGTAGAGGCGGCTGAGGGCTGGGAGGAGGGTGGGGTGGAAGACTTATTGACTTCAGGCAGTGTCTTATAGCATGTTTGATTCATACAAACTATTTTGGGAGGGTTTTCTCACTAATCATAGGCCGCAGGATGCATAAATGTGTAGGTAGGCATGATTTATACATCTATAGGTAGGCCTACTGTATCCAATGTTTCATCCTGTGGTGATAAATGATAGTGGCTGATCACAAACTCAGAGGAAGTGAATGGGTGGGTCTGTATTGCTTGAGAATCAGCTTAAATCTGAACTCTAATCCTGGCTCAAACCCTAAATGTAGCATTTTTCCCTCATAACACTGACCCTTGCATCCCTTGGCTTTGCCTTCGCACCACACCCAACCCCAGCTTTAATCCTGGCCCTTTGGCTACTGCAAACCTGCACTGATGCCGTGAAAAGCAATACTGTTTTAAAGAAAGGAGGCATTAATAACAGGTAATATTATCTCCAGACAGAGAGGGCAAGGGGACAGTGTGTAAGCCAACTGTTTTGACATTTCTGAAGTCTCCACAATGATTAATTAGCGCCATTTCATAACTGTAACCCACTGTAATTTTCAATATTGCATACAGTTCATGTACCACAGTAGAATTCTAAGATGCTCTAGTCTAAAAAGTATTTTATGTCACATTTGCTGTGCACTCATATTATTGCACAGAATCCAACTTTGTCTTCATCAACCAAATTCCCTCTCCCATTGGAGTGCTTTAGCTAAATCAACTTTAAGTGCTTGAGACATTAAGTCCACATCCCATCCCAAGTCATGGGATTCGTCAGTCAGAGGGGAGGCTCACCATAGCCCATTTGAAGTGATTAGAACCTCACCAACCTTAATGCATGTTCATGGGATGAAGCTTAGTCAGAACACCCCGGGACAGAGTGAAAACAAAACTTTCACTCCACATGAAATACTAATATTACATTTTAAACGCTTAATCCTCCACATTAAATACTATCATTACATTTTAAACGCTTAACACTCTACATTAAATACTAACATTACGTTTTAAACTCTTAACACACCACATGAAATCCTAACATTACATTTTAAACACTTAACACTCCACATTAAATACTAACATTACATTTTAAACGCTTAACACTCCACATGAAATACTAACATTACATTTTAAACGCTTAACACTCCACATTAAATACTAACATTACATTTTAAACGTTTAACACTCCACAGGTGGCCATAATTAGACATTTTTCACTGTCCTGCAGATTTGTCTCTACAACTTCCTGAGCGTGAGCCTGATACTCAGTTCTGTTTGTGATGACAGGTTTCACACCAATATCTCTTGAGGGATTTTGGAATAGCATTGGCTTCACAATCCATTTCCATCGTAATGTTATTGCCCTTGCTCCAGTAGGGCCTGAAGGCATCCTTCCAGTGCTGTGTGTCACATCAGTTTGTTTCTCTGTTTGTTCCCACAGGAGAGTGTAGACTTGGGAGAGATCATGTTCTCACTATGCTACCTGCCAACCGCAGGACGACTCACTCTCACTGTCATCAAGTGCAGGAACCTCAAGGCCATGGATATCACTGGATACTCAGGTAGGCAAGCTTTATGTGTGTGTGTGTGTGTGTGTGTGTGTGTGTGTCATTGTTTTTCATAATGAGTCAAAGAAAATAAACCCTGGCTGTAACATATCAAATTATAGATGTTCTCAAATGTTGAATAAAAAGAGCAAACAAAGGGAAGTCCTCTCCAGCTATTTTTATTTCTGTGAGAATCTATTAATATTCACCACTGGCAATATGGAGATGTCATCTACAACTACTTACAGCCTAACAATCTGCTGTTCCGTATTCAGTTTATATTATCAATAACCAAATATCATTAGAGGAAACATGTTTGCGTGCGAATTCAAGTGACATTCACTCTGAGTTAAATGTCACGAATCGGGCATTATTTATTCCAAACAATTATTGTATTATTTGTTATTATTTTTCCTCTCACTGTTAACGACATTTTAACAAGTTTAATATCCCTTCTCAGTTGAGGATTTAAATGTCTCCCAATTGTTGCTGGATTGAACTGGATCTGTGTGCAGTAAACCATGGCTAGTAAATTGTACCCTGAAGCATATTTGGTTGCAAAGCAAGCAGTCTTTATAATGTTGTGTATGGATCTAAGGCAGCTTACATCTGACTAGTTTACTGACATAATGGATTTTAGGAGCTGACGGATGAAGATTGAAATCAGCATTCACCACGCATTCACTTTATTCCATTAAAGCACTATTTCAGTGGCTTTCGCTTCCTCTGCTTTCAATAACTGAGGTGTTTACTCATCAATATCAAATGTACAGAGATTTATTCCAGACCTTTTCAAGGATGTTATTGTTATATTTAGGTTCAAGTAAGCGGGGGAGTATAATACACATGGGAAATATACTTTAAATGGGAAATGAAATTGATCGATGCAGCTGCTGCATCAAAATGTATGTGTTGAGTTATGTTGAGGTCACTGTAGGCCTAATGAGAATAGCATTATGTTCTCACATGCTGAAACAATACCTGCATGTTTTATTAGTCGAATGTACAGGATACACATGGTATACATCGTCCAACGAAATGCTTACTTGCAGGTTCCTTCTTGACAATACAACAATAAGAAATAAGAACAGATAAGAATAGGAACACAAAGTAAATGGCTCAGTAGAATAGAATAAACATCTCAGCATAATTATAATACAGGAAGGCACAATTTATAGTCCAATATTTACACATGTTTTGGGGAAGGGGGGATTGGGGGACAAGTGTTTAAATTGTGCAGTATTTAGCAATAATAATAGGAGTCTGGTAGCAGCAGTTGGGATGTGTGTCTAGCATGAATGTGTGTCTGTGTGTTTTTGGTTTTACTATCCTTGTGGGGACCAGACATTTCGCCGGTCCCCACAAGGAAAAAGCCTAGTTTAGATGTATAGCTTTAGGGTTACAATTAGGGTTAGGGGTTAGAGTTTAGGTTTAGGGTTAGAAGTTAGGTTGAGGGTTAGGGTTAGTGTTTTGGGGTTAGGGTTAGGGTTATCATTAGGTTTAGGGTTAGGGGTTAGGGAAAATAGGATTTTGAATGGGAATCAATTGTTTGGTCCCCACAAGAATAGTAAAACAAACGTGTGTGTGTGTGTGGATGAGTGTATATCTGTGTGGGTGTGTGTGTAAGTGAGTGAGTGCATGTGTGCTAAGGTACGAAGAATCAGTGCAGGTGGTCGGTCCAGTTCAATTATTCAGCAGTCTGATGGCTTGTAGATAGAAACTGTCTCTGAGCCTGTTGGTATCAAACCTCAAGCTCCATGTGGGGTCCTTGATGATGCTGCATGTCAAATGTTCTAGCGGTAAATGTACAGAATCTCTTTCTAAATTGCACAAAGCAGAGGCTAACATTGGAGCATGAAAACACAAGGAGATTTCTGGTGCCACGATTGATCTCAAGATAATGTGGCTATAGAACTTACATCCTGATAAACATCTTATATCTTTTTCTCTTTTCCACTTCAGATCCCTACGTCAAAGTGTCTCTTGTCTGTGACGGGAGGCGTTTGAAAAAGAAGAAGACGACCATCAAGAAGAACACTCTGAACCCCACGTACAACGAGGCCATCATCTTCGACATTCCCCCAGACAGCATGGACCACGTCAGCCTGCACATCTCAGTCATGGACTATGACTTGTGCGTATAACACTTTGATTTAATCTTGGCATCCATAAGAAAAATCTGGCATGCACGTTGGCCGGCTACTTGGTAACAGTCTGTCAAGCACTGTCCAAAAAATTCAACTGGACGGTTCTCTCAGAATATTCAGCATCTTTGTAGTCAGCACAATACGGCCCCTAGAATAGGACACTGCGTCGGATATCTATTTTTTTTTAAAGAACAACACAACAAATAGAAAGAATAGGTCAGGAGTCAGGGAAGCAGAACAGTAACTATAAAACAGTCAGTCACTAGAAGACCAGTACAGTGGAGGAGCTCTCTGCTCTGCCAGGAGAGGTGAATGGTAGTAGGGCAGTGGTCGCCAACCGGCCGATCAAGATCGACTGGTCAATCTCCAAGGCATTCCTAGTCAATCACCAAACGTCTGTATAAAACAAAAACAACGATAAAGCCTTGCGATCCTATTTGGTTGAATGGAAGCTCAGAGGGTAGTCTTTATCAACAAACATGGCTGCTGCCGACTGGCGAACCGACTCTACTTTGAGGGTATCAGCCAGGGCATCCTTGTTTTGTATCAGTCCGTCCCTTAGATCCAGGATTATGATGAGGAAGAACAGACATCCCCTCTGGTCTGGTTCAACCTCGGAGGGGACTTTGTTGGTCCCATTACCATTTGTAGTTGTTGGAACACAAACCCTTTCTTCATACCATTTACATTTCAGACATTATCTCTAAAAGAGATATGGAAATGTCTCCTTTTAACTATGACTCAGCTTTATCTTCACATGAACTGCACCTGCTAATTATCACCTCTCCCTTTTAACTTTACATCTTGCAGCTGTATCTTCTGATAACTAAATGTATACTTGTTATAAGGGTTGGAGATGGGGTGAAATAATTTTGCCAAATTAGCTTTTTTAATGTGAATGCAACGATTTTACATTGGTGGGTTCCCAGAATATTATTTTCTTCAATTTTGTAATGCTTGTAATACAAATTCAGCTATAAAATCAATCCTGCATTATTTTGTAATGTAGTGTCTCTGAAGAGCAGGATTAGCTGTACTGTTGTGTTGATGTTGTGTGTGTTGTCTGGCCCCTGCAGTGTAGGTCACAATGAGATCATTGGTGTGAACCGTGTGGGGTGCAGTGCTGAGGGGCTTGGCAAGGGCCACTGGAACGAGATGCTGGCGTACCCACGCAAGCCCATTGCACACTGGCACCCCCTACTGGAGGCCAAGAAATCAGAGAAAGAGGTTAGTTCAAACATCACGTTGCAGTGTGTGAAGAATTTGTAGGCATGAATATTGCATATAGTAAAAAATATAGAGACGTTTTTTTCAAGGATCACACGTAGGATAAATAGTCAATGTCAGATATTGTAACAGTGTAATATCTATCGTCTAATGAAGTGTGTGTGTGTGTGTGTGTGTGTGCGTGTGCGTGCATGCGTCTGTGTCTGTGTCTGTGGGTGTGTGTATGTCTGTGTGTGTCTGTGTACTGCAGTGGAAAACGCGGACGGCCAGTTTGGACAGCCAGGGTTCTTGCCCCTCCCCCAGGCCTCCTTCTAGCCCCTGAGCAGAACCACCTGTGACCCTAGTGAAACGGTCTCCTCTCTCTCCTTCTAATCCCACATCCTGTCTGGTCTGTCTGCCTGCACCTGAGGAGAAACATAGCCCCACTCAGTCTCTCTCAGTCTTCACTCTCCCTCAAGTGTAGCAACAAAGTGCTCCCGTTCCCAATAACTGATCCTGGATCAGCATCTCTGTCAGTTGTTTTTGAAGTAACAATGTTTTTTTTTGAATTAATATGAAGTTTTGCAGTTAGGTTTACTGATCTGGAGTCAATCCCAGTACTTGGGGTGCTTTGGTTTGGTTTTATCCTGAGCTTCTCTCATCAAGTGAGTCCCCAAAGGGGGAGCTTGTTGTCTGAGTGGCACAACAGACTGCCGGATCCGAGTGTATCTATCTATGGGAGAGAGAGAGAGAGAATACATTTAACATTTAAGTCATTTCATAGTGAGGAAGCCAGTCAGTGGTGAGTACAAGCTGTCACTTTATATTGGATCAGCTGGTCAAAATCTGTTGTTTTCCTAAAGATAGGAAATTAAAGACTGGATTGACCTAATGAATATCTAAAGCCCTCTGCACTTACTATCTATCTGCTAATATTGTGTGGCAGTAACAAAAACATTGTGGCACTATGAAATGTGTAGTTCTTTTAACAAACATCCATTGTCATAATAACTAAGCCAAACAAGGCAAAAAAAATACTATTTCACAATAGTAGCTATGTTGTATATTTTCTCAATGTAAACCATGATATGTTCAGGAGTAATGAGCAGAACTTAAAGTGATGGTTTTGACCAGTCAAATAGTGTTCATCAAGTTTATAGAGGGTCATATAATGAACAAATATGTGCAACACACCATATAAGCACATTGCAACAACATTGGAGCATAGCGCCTCCTGAGAGTCTTTCTACGGAAGGAAAAATGGTTAAATAGCACACAGACTCCGAACCACCCTTACCTCTCTCTCTTGTTTTTCTCCTTGTTAGTCTTGGTGCCCTTGCCTATTCCATCGGAGAGTGTATTCTCATTACTCCTGCTCCCATAGTTTTCCTCTCTCAGCTGAACGTATTGCACCTCTTCAACATCTTCTTATCGTATTCTGTTCCCTGGGGTTGGTTTGAACTGTACAGCACAGTCCTCTCTCTGCCAATGTAAAGTTTGTATTTCCCACCAGAATACAAAGTAGATGTAAAACTAATATTGTTGTGTTGTGGCCTCCAGAAGCCTTCTCCAGAAGAGGAGAATATCACCCTCGGTGGACCAATAATCAACTATTCATTTTATATTTATTCTCTATCATGAGGCACCATGGAAACTTGAGTGGTTTATAATGGGCTGACTTTGAATCTGCCCTTCATACAAGGACCAGTTTATTGGATATTGTTGAGGAGCTTGATCTGAATCCAAACAAATGATTTGCATTATTGAACCCTTTTCCCAATGCTTCGACAAAATCCAATGAGTCAGCCTTTACATGTAGGCAGTCATGTAGCTACTTCTTCGATTGTATGTGATACATGTGTACTATTGGATCTAATGGATAGATATATAAAAAGGTGAAAATAATCCTGATTTGATTATGATGGCTATGTAATATTTATATTTCTTTCTACGTTGTGGTACTATGATGAGTGCAGTACAACCTAATATTTGATGTCCTCTCAATAGCCACATTTGTATCAAATAAAACAAACTGATTAGTGTTTAGTTTTTTGGTGCCAAACGTGCTTGTAGCAAAGGTAGACTATAATTTGCTCTGAAACAAAAATTAGGAAAGTAATGTCAATCATTATCAAATTCATATTTTCTTTCCAGTGAGACTTATTATTTTCTGTGCTATGTAGTAAACGTATTGTTTCAAAAAAATACAGCATGGATTACAAATGGTTTTTAATAATAAAATGTGCAACTGAAAGTAGGTTACCATTTGAGAGAGGTATTTTAGTAAAATCTTCAATTTGATTAGAAGGATTCTTGTTTGTCCCAGTTGGGTTATGTAAGATGTACTACAAATCAGGAATCTTTATCAATGTTGTTTTATGTTGACCATGACAGTGTTTTGATTATTTATTGGCAAGCACATGTTCGAAAGCAGGTCTGCCTATAATGTGGGTATCAGCAAATGGGTGTTGTTTATAGTACATGAGGAGCATTTCTGAGTAGCATTCTTCTCTACGTTAAGCCCTTGAGTGCTTTAAACTGAAGCTTCTTTCTCCATGCATTCTGTCTACAGAACTTTGGCACTGATCGAATGGTAGTAGTTGTTTGTGAATCAAAGAGGAAATAGTAACTCAATGATAGTAAATTCTAAAAGGGTCATGACACTGTGGCTTCTGCCTGACCACAGCTGCAGAGCAGAAGCATGTTTTAAGATGGTATACAGTGGGGAGAACAAGTATTTGACACTGCCGATTTTGCAGGTTTTCCTACTTACAAAGCATGTAGAGGTCTGTCATTTTTATCATAGGTACACTTCAACTGTGAGAGACGGAATCTTAAACAAAAATCCACAAAATCACATTGTATGATTTTTAAGTAATTAATTTGCATTTTATTGCATGACATAAGTATTTGATCACCTACCAACCAGTAAGAATTCCGGCTCTCACAGACCTGTTAGTTTTTCTTTAAGAAGCCCTCCTGTTCTCCACTCATTACCTGTATTAACTGCACCTGTTTGAACTCGTTACCTGTATAAAAGACACCTGTCCACACACTCAATCAAACAGACTCCAACCTCTCCACAATGGCCAAGACCAGAGAGCTGTGTAAGGACACCAGGGATAAAATTGTAGACCTGCACAAGGCTGGGGTGGGCTACAGGACAATAGGCAAGCAGCTTGGTGAGAAGGCAACAATTGTTGGCACAATTATTAGAAAATGGAAGAAGTTCAAGATGACGGTCTGGGGCTCCATGCAAGATCTCACCTCGTGGGGCATCAATGATCATGAGGAAGGTGAGGGATCAGCCCAGAACTACACGGCAGGACCTGGTCAATGACCTGAAGAGAGCTGGGACCACAGTCTCAAAGAAAACCATTAGTAACACACTACGCCGTCATGGATTAAAATCCTGCAGCGCACGCAAGGTCCCCCTGCTCAAGCCAGCGCATGTCCAGGCCCATCTGAAGTTTGCCAATGACCATCTGGATGATCCAGAGGAGGAATGGGAGAAGGTCATGTGGTCTGATGAGACAAAAATAGAGTTTTTTGGTCTAAACTCCACTCCCCGTGTTTGGAGGAAGAAGAAGGATGAGTACAACCCCAAGAACACCATCCCAACCGTGAAGCATGGAGGTGGAAACATCGTTCTTTGGGGATGCTTTTCTGCAAAGGGGACAGGACGACTGCACCGTATTGAGGGGAGGATGGATGGGGCCATGTATCGCGAGATCTTGGCCAACAACCTCCTTCCCTTAGTAAGAGCATTGAAGATGGGTCGTGGCTGGGTCTTCCAGCATGACAACGACCCGAAACACACAGCCAGGGCAACTAAGGAGTGGCTCCGTAAGAAGCATCTCAAGGTCCTGGAGTGGCCTAGCCAGTCTCCAGACCTGAACCCAATAGAAAATCTTTGGAGGGAGCTGAAAGTCCGTATTGCCCAGCGACAGCCACGAAACCTGAAGGATCTGGAGAAGGTCTGTATGGAGGAGTGGGCCAAAATCCCTGCTGCAGTGTGTGCAAACCTGGTCAAGACCTACAGGAAACGTATGATCTCTGTAATTGCAAACAAAGGTTTCTGTACCAAATATTAAGTTCTGCTTTTCTGATGTATCAAATACTTATGTCATGCAATAAAATGCAAATTAATTACTTAAAAATCATACAATGTGATTTTCTGGATTTTTGTTTTAGATTCCGTCTCTCACAGTTGAAGTGTACCTATGATAAAAATTACAGACCTCGACATGCTTTGTAAGTAGGAAAACCTGCTAAATCGGCAGTGTATCAAATACTTGTTCTCCCCACTGTATATCAAACAGAGAGGATGTGGAAGAAGAATGGGAAAAATGAACAAGGAAAATGGGAAAAGTGAATGTGCTAAACAGACACATTAGATCACTGTTTTAGCCATTCCTCCTAGAGAGAGCAGGAGTGTACCTTGTTTAGTCTAAGAGACAGACAGACAGACAGACAGATAGTGTGGGGGCAACTAGACAATAGATAGTCAGAGGCCGATGTCTTGCAGTGAGTCGATTACATTTCTCTAATTGGCAGTTGGTGAGACACAATAAAAACGAGTCACTTGTTGGATTCCCTCACACCATTACTGTTTTTTTCTGCGCAATGTGATTCTTCAATTGTTCTCACATACAGTATATAGGTATACACTTGCTGGTTACATTCCTGATTAGATTCATGATATTTCCGTACTGATATCTGACTCCAAGTTTGTTTCTATTTGACAAAAATGTTTGAAATAACTGACTGTAGTTTTTGTTCTTCATCTGTTTCAGTAATGTGCGTTTAACAATGATGATGGTCTTATGTTCTGATAATATAGCCTAGTGTGTTTGTTTCCATAGTAGGTAATACTATCATATTAAATCGATTTAGCCTCAGTTTATGTACTGTTTTAAAGACCTTATTCCTTTGGCTATTATTATTATCGTTGTGTTCCTCAATATGATGTTGTATCCCTTCCATTCTTCATGGATTGCTCTGACTTTCCAATTTTGTATTGAAGATTTGTACTTGTAATATAACTGTTTGACAACTGTTCTTGTAATTGAAGCCAAATGCTGTTAGTTCAGATAAGGGTTTTATTTTTGGTTGCTTTTAAATCCTGAATCGTTATGACTCATGATATGAGGTCCAATGTGTAATAAACTGATCTAAAAACTATCATTTTATCTGTTGTTATATATTAATTTTTTTCATTTATGAACAGTATTGCAGCAACAGAAGACATATGTTTTCAATTATGGTGGTGCAAAGTTGGGTTCAAAACATGGAGTACTACTCATTGTGTTTTTTAAAGATTTCACCTAAGATTGAACATTTTAGTGAAATTATTTTTTTATTTGATTGTGCAGACATTTACATTTACATTTACATCATTTAGCAGACGCTCTTATCCAGAGCGACTTACAAATTGGTGCATTCAACTTATGATAGCCAGTGGGACAAGCACTTTTTTTTTATGGGGGTGGGGGAAGAAGGATTACTTTTATACTATTCCAGGTATTCCTTAAAGAGGTAGGGTTTCAAGTGTCTCCGGAAGGTGGTCAGTGACTCCGCTGTCCTGGCATCGTGGGGGAGCTTGTTCCACCATTGGGGTGCCAGAGCAGCAAATAGCTTTGACTGGGCTGAGCTGGAACTGTGCTTCCGTAGAGGTAGGGGGACCAGCAGGCCAGAGGTGGATGAACGTAGTGCCCTCGTTTGGGTGTAGGGTCTGATCAGAGCGTGAAGGTAAGGAGGTGCCGTTCCCCTCACAGCTCCGTAGGCAAGCACCATGGTCTTGTAGTATATGCGAGCCTCAGCTGGAAGCCAGTGGAGTGTGCGGAGGAGCGGGGTGACATGAGAGAACTTGGGAAGGTTGAACACCAGACGGGCTGCAGCGTTCTGGATAAGTTGTAGGGGTTTAATGGCACAGGCAGGGAGCCCAGCCAACAGCGACTTGCAGTAATCCAGACGGGAGATGACAAGTGCCTGGATTAGGACCTGTGCTGCTTTCTGTGTATAATTAGCTGGAGGCTGTCAATTTCACGACTACGTATCTCAAAGTGTACAACAAAGGGACCAAGCAGCAGGAAAGAGAAAATGGGATGAACTATAAAATATAAACGTATGTAAAGTGTTGGTCCCATGTTTCATGAGCTGAAATAAAATATCCCCGAAATGTTCCATACGTACAAAAAGCTTATTTCTCTCAAATGTTGTGCACAAATTTGTTTACATCCCTGTTAGTGAGCATTTCTCCTTTTCCAAGATAATCCATCCACCTGACAGGTGAGGCATACCAAGAAGCTGATTAAACAGCATGATCATTACACAGCTGCTGCTTGTGCTGGGGACAATAAAAGGTCACTCTAGAATGTGCAGTTTTGTCACACAACACAATGCCACAGATCTCAAGTTTTGAGGGAGTGTGCAATGGGCATGCTGACTGCAGGAATGTCCACCAGAGCAGTTGCCAAAAAATGTAATGTTCATTTCTCTACCATAAGCCACCTCCAACATTGTTTTAGAACATTTGGCAGTACGTCCAACTGGCCTCACAACCCTAGACCCTGTGTAACCATGCCAGCCCAGGACCTCCACATCCGGCTTCTTCACCTACGGGATCATCTGAGACCAGACACCCGGACAGCTGATGAAACTGAGAAGTATTTCTGTCTGTAATAAAGCACTTTTGTGGGGAAAAACTCATTCTGATTGGCTGGGCCTGGCTCCCCAGTGGGTGGGCCTGGCTCCCAAGTAGGTTGGCCTATGCCCTTCCAGCCCCACCCATGGCTGCGCCCATGCCCAGTCATGTGAAATCCATAGATTAGGACCTAATTAATTTATTTGAATTGACTGATTTCCTTACATAAACTGTAACTCAGTAACATCGTTGAAATTGTTGCATGTTGCATTTATATTTTTGTTCAGTATAAAACAAGACATGGAATGTAAATAGCCAAGTTAACTGAGGGTAGCTGGTGCATACACTCGATCAAGGCTTTAACTTATACACAGTTTCTGATCTGTGCCCCTAATCAATCCAGTTGTTGCAGACATAATATGACAATTTGAATCGAAGTCAAATTATTACTTGATATCAAACTGTAGGAATATGTTTGATAATGGGCACCTACAGTACATTTTATGTGTTACAGTGTGGACAATGAGTTGGTTGGTACCCAAAAAAAAATAGATTGTATGTCTCCAAGCCAGTGATTGTCTTTACATTAAAATGTGTTCCGTTCATTCCCATGCAATAGTTTGTAGCCACTTAAACCATTAGCTTCCTCTTCATGGACAGTTTGTATAGGATCTGGTAGCCATCGTCCCAGGTATATATCTGTTTCTCCTGAGGTTTGTACTTCAGACTGGTGTGGGCTCCATACCTCCTGGGAAAGTACAGGTGAGGAGCCTCCTCACTGGTCACCATATAGTCCACATGCCTTTGGGGCTGCCCATCCTCTTCAGGATCTTCATGGCTCTGATTCTGGAGATTATATCCACACAATCTGTTGACAGAGAAATGGAGACGGTATCGTATGTGAAAAGCCATTTTCATTAGTGGTCATAATAACAGTATCTAAAGGTAGCAAAAATAACATTGTCAGATGTTATGAAAAATCAGGTAATTACTAACACATTGAAGTTTGTACAGTATATAAAATGACAACAGATAAGTATTATAACAGATTAGAGATAAGTATTATAAATGTTAATGGTCTATTAATTGTATGTCAGCATCCACGCATCCAGTTCAAATTTCTGTCTCATGTGTTACATCAGCATGTCTCCGCAGTGTCCTTGCCCACCTGAAACATATTTTGATGTCTACTTTAATATGCAGGGCACATCATTTACCCTGCAGGCTGCAGCAGGCTATTCCAATTCAGTCCAAATTAAAATCAACTCAACACAATCAAAGGGAAGTGGAAGAAAGAGCTACATGGAGCTAAGGAAATTGGGCAAGATGGGTGGGACACAGATATGCTGGTGTATAGTAAAATTGTATTTTCTTCAAAGAGCTTTTTGCTGATCAACAGTAAATTGGATCTCTCAAGACAACAAATAAATGTCCTCTCAATCAGGATAGACTGATTCCAAATCATTAACAATGGTGGGTACTGTTGTGTATGCATGGAACACTACTTAAATATGGGCTTTCAAAGTATAATGCCACTGACCTGAGGTCAGTATCCTGTTCCCCCTTTCAGATAGAGTAAAGCTTACCATATGCTTTCCAGTCTAAACAGTTTGCGCATATATTATGACAAAATGTTGTTCGTTTTTGTTCGTTTTGGTCTTCGGGAATTGTTTTGGGGGCTGTTCGTGCACACACAATTTTTTCTTGAGGCAAGTCGGTGGCCGAAGTCTCTGTCCCTTCGTCTGTGATTGGTCAACAGTACTACTCCTAGTAGGAGTGGGAACTATGGATGGGATTCTTCAATTAAGTGTTTGTTGTCATTCAACGAGAGACGACTAGTATTCGTGCACATTTTTTCACTTGAGAAATACTGCACCAACATCTTAGTTAGGTGTCAAATTGTGTGACTAAGACCTCTGAAAAAACACATAAATTAATTACAGATTTCTTGATTTATCTTAGATTAATTCTGACTATTTTGAGGAAATGTTATGGCTATGTTGTTGCTACGGTGGCTCAAGAGGGACAAACAACAGTAATACCGCCGTTCAGCTTTTTTCATTTTTTCAAGCGAATGTCTTTAAGGAGTATGCGAGCACAGACGTTCGAGTCGCCTAGCCGAGTTCTGCTAGGAGCAAACCGAAACTATGTTTGCCGTCACCTTAAGAGCCCCTGCTAAACGCTTTACATTAATGTTCTAACTGTTTATTAGAGGGTATAAACTAATCATTCATGGTTTATAAACCACTTCTTAACATTTTATAAACCTTTTAGTGATGCTGAAACTCTTTGTGATACTGAAACTCTTTGCTCTGTGTTTTACATTCTATGTTATACAGTTGAACAAATGAACCTGTCTGTGAAATAGGACTTCGTACCGTGTCTATGTGGTACAAATAGGAGACTGGTCCCCTATAAAGGCTCTAGATCAAAGGCAATCATCCTGTGCAAGACGTCAGAGCTCCCCCAACTGCCTCCCACTGCTCCTCTCTCTGCTCACCCGAGACTCTGGAGTACCCATCCTCCTCCTCTCCCCCTTTCTTCCTCTCCTTCAACCTCTCCTTCACCTCCTGGTCCACATCCACCATTCTGTCTGCCTGGTTCACACAGGCACTAGCCGGATTCTGGGTCTCGACGTAGTCCATCTCTCTCTCCACACAGTCCACCCAGACCCCCATCCACTCCAGGTCTTGGCGCAGGGTACCATGGTCCTGGTTTATTCCCTTTATAAACTCAGCAGTCTGCTTCTTGAAGTGCCACAGCTCTGTGTTGTAGCGGTTAGACTGCTCGTGCCATATGAGCATAGGATCCCGGAAGAAGATCATGTGTTATCAAGGATGTTGATTTGGTGTGTGACCCACGATTAAGCATTATTGTAATGGGTGAATGTATTCTCCCTAAAGCATCGACACATGTTTATTACAATCACACATAAATGTCTCAGTGTCAAGGCTTTAAACAGTTCTGAGATAACCAATAAGTTGGCTTTCAACCACACTGAAACCATGACCTTCCTAATAATTTATTGTGGCAGAAAGTATCAGCACCTACTCTATCAACATCAATGTCACTGTCACAGCCTCACAAGGAGCAAGACGTGTTTCGTTTATTATCTCAATGTTGTTCTGTGGTCTGGTTCAGTGGTAGTGAACAACAGTGATTGATTCATAGTGAGATTGACAGGGAGAGATACTGAGAATGAGAAGTAATAATAACAACTGATTATTTTTCCTCTCTGTCTCAGTTTCATTTTCTCTACTTCTCTGGAGTCACTTGTTGGATTGGAATGAAAAAGCTCACAAAAAAATAAAAATAACGAATTGACTTGCCAGCGGCACCCTGGCAGGGATATTGAAGAAATAGAGCCAGAGGGATCAGGAAGAGTTTAATGATAAACAAATTATTCATTTCATTCAAGCAAATCTTGTTTGTATTCTCACACTATTTTTCCCATCTTTTTCAGTGCTATATTCTAAATTGCCTCAAAAGAAGAAAATAACCGTAACCGATTTACCTTATGGTCATAATGAACGGATAGATTGGAGCATGAACTTTTAAAGGAAACATTACCATTTAAATTACATTTAAAAGAAATGACTAAAACCTTGATTACTGTAGCTAATAATACTGTAAGCCTACAGCAGACAGGATGGAGCTGCATATTTATTCCACTTCTTGGACACTTCATCACACTCAACATATACTGTAATCAAACTTGGCATTATCAGTGAAGACAGGTCACAGAATAACTATAATATATGAGGGGTAGCGTATAGTTTCACAAACCTGGCATATTATATTTCACAAAATAAATAGTGTACAGTGCCTCAGACAGAATTTTCATTTGGCCAAGATACAGTGGGGGAAAAAAGTATTTAGTCAGCCACCAATTGTGCAAGTTCTCCCACTTAAAAATATGAGAGAGGCCTGTAATTTTCATCATAGGTACACGTCAACTATGACAGACAAAATGAGGGGAAAAAATCCTGAAAATCACATTGTAGGATTTTTAATGAATGTATTTGCAAATTATGGTGGAAAATAAGTATTTGGTCACCTACAAACAAGCAAGATTTCTGGCTCTCACAGACCTGTAACTTCTTCTTTAAGAGGCTCCTCTGTCCTCCACTCGTTACCTGTATTAATAGCACCTGTTTGAACTTGTTATCAGTACAAAAGACACCTGTCCACAACCTCAAACAGTCACACTCCAAACTCCACTATGGCCAAGACCAAAGAGCTGTCAAAGGACACCAGAAACAAAATTGTAGACCTGCACCAGGCTGGGAAGACTGAATCTGCAATAGGTAAGCAGCTTGGTTTGAAGAAATCAACTGTGGGAGCAATTATTAGGAAATGGAAGACATACAAGACCACTGATAATCTCCCTCGATCTGGGGCTCCACGCAAGATCTCACCCCGTGGGGTCAAAATGATCACAAGAACGGTGAGCAAAAATCCCAGAACCACACGGGGGGACCTAGTGAATGACCTGCAGAGAGCTGGGACCAAAGTAACAAAGCCTACCATCAGTAACACACTACGCCGCCAGGGACTCAAATCCTGCAGTGCCAGACGTGTCCCCCTGCTTAAGCCAGTACATGTCCAAGCCCGTCTGAAGTTTGCTAGAGTGCATTTGGATGATCCAGAAGAGGATTGGGAGAATGTCATATGGTCAGATGAAACCAAAATATAACTTTTTGGTAAAAACTCAACTCGTCGTGTTTGGAGGACAAAGAATGCTGAGTTGCATCTAAAGAACACCATACCTACTGTGAAGCATGGGGGTGGAAAACATCATGCTTTGGGGCTGTTTTTCTGCAAAGGGACCAGGACGACTGATCCGTGTAAAGGAAAGAATGAATGGGGCCATGTATCGTGAGATTTTGAGTGAAAACCTCCTTCCATCAGCAAGGGCATTGAAGATGAAACGTGGCTGGGTCTTTCAGCATGACAATGATCCCAAACACACCGCCCGGGCAACGAAGGAGTGGCTTCGTAAGAAGCATTTCATGGTCCTGGAGTGGCCTAGCCAGTCTCCAGATCTCAACCCCATAAAAGAATCTTTGGAGGGAGTTGAAAGTCCGTGTTGCCCAGCGACAGCCCCAAAACATCACTGCTCTAGAGGAGATCTGCATGGAGGAATGGGCCAAAATACCAGCAACAGTGTGTGAAAACCTTGTGAAGACTTACAGAAAACGTTTGACCTGTGTCATTGCCAACAAAGGGTATATAACAAAGTATTGAGAAACTTTTGTTATTGACCAAATACTTATTTTCCACCATAATTTGCAAATAAATTCATTAAAAATCCTACAATGTGATTTTCTGGAATTTTTTTCCTCATTTTGTCTGTCATAGTTGACGTGTACCTATGATGAAAATTACAGGCCTCTCTCATCTTTTTAAGTGGGAGAACTTGCACAATTGGTGGCTGCCTAAATACTTTTTTTCCCCACTGTACATTACAAGCCCTTGATTGATTTATTACTGCCCAACACATTATTTTGGGCGGTAAACAAGTTTTTGTCATAGGCAATGATGCAAAAGTTCCTCTTGTGTTTATTATCAATGCATTGTTATCTTTGCCCAAGAGGAAGTCTCAAACTGCTTAGTGTGCATGCTTAGGGAAGGGCATGAGAATAGTACTCAGGCACAGATAGGACATCTCAAATCCACTGATGTTCTCAAAGGGCCTCAGCCAGAGAAGTTGAGTCGAACAGAGATTGCATTAATTGGATTGCTTATTCGACACATTAAGATACATACACTGCTCAAAAAAATAAAGGGAACACTTAAACAACACAATGTAACTCCAAGTCAATCACACTTCTGTGAAATCAAACTGTCCACTTAGGAAGCAACGCTGATTGACAATAAATGTCACATGCTGTTGTGCAAATGGAATAGACAACAGGTGGAAATTATAGGCAATTAGCAAGACACCCCCAATAAAGGACTGGTTTTGCAGGTGGTGACCACAGACCACTTCTTAGTTCCTATGCTTTCTGGCTGATGTTTTGGTCACTTTTGAATGCTGGCGGTGCTTTCACTCTAGTGGTAGCATGAGACGGAGTCTACAACCCACACAAGTGGCTTAGGTAGTGCAGCTCATCCAGGATGGCACATCAATGCGAGCTGTGGCAAGAAGGTTTGCTGTGTCTGTCAGCGTAGTGTCCAGAGCATGGAGGCGCTACCAGGAGACAGGCTAGTACATCAGGAGACGTGGAGGAGGCCGTAGGAGGGCAACAACCCAGCAGCAGGACTGCTACCTCCGCCTTTGTGCAAGGAGGAGCAGGAGGAGCAAAATGACCTCCAGCAGGCCACTAATGAGCATGTGTCTGCTCAAACGGTCAGAAACAGACTCCATTAGGGTGGTATGAGGGCCCGACGTCCACAGGTGGGGGTTGTGCTTACAGCCCAACACCGTGCAGGACGTTTGGCATTTGCCAGAGAACACCAAGATTGGCAAATTCGCCACTGGCGCCCTGTGCTCTTCACAGATGAAAGCAGGTTCACACTGAGCACATGTGACAGACGTGACAGAGTCTAGAGACGCCGTGGAGAACGTTCTGCTGCCTGCAACATCCTCCAGCATGACCGGTTTGGAGGTGTGTCAGTCATGGTGTGGGGTGGCATTTCTTTGGGGGGCCGCACAGCCCTCCATGTGCTCGCCAGAGGTAGCCTGACTGCCATTAGGTACCGAGATGAGATCCTCAGACCCCTTGTGAGACCATATGCTGGTGCGGTTGGCCCTGGGTTCCTCCTAATGCAAGACAATGCTAGACCTCATGTGGCTGGAGTGTGTCAGCAGTTCCTGCAAGAGGAAGGCATTGATGCTATGGACTGGCCCGCCCGTTCCCCAGACCTGAATCCAATTGAGCACATCTGGGACATCATGTCTCGCTCCATCCACCAACGTCACGTTGCACCACAGACTGTCCAGGAGTTGGCGGATGCTTTAGTCCAGGTCTGGGAGGAGATCCCTCAGGAGACCATCCGCCACCTCATCAGGAGCATGCCCAGGCATTGTAGGGAGGTCATACAGGCACGTGGAGGCCACACACACTACTGAGCCTCATTTTGACTTGTTTTAAGGACATTACATCAAAGTTGGATCAGCCTGTAGTGTGGTTTTCCACTTTCATTTTGAGGGTGACTCCAAATCCAGACATCCATGGGTTGATACATTTGATTTCCATTGATAATTTTTGTCTGAATTTGTTGTCAGCACATTCAACTATGTAAAGAAAAAAGTATTTAATAAGATTATTTCATTCATTCAGATCTAGGATGTGTTATTTTAGTGTTCCCTATATTTTTTTGAGCAGTGTATATACACTACCAGTCAGAAGTTTGGACACACCTACTCATTCCAGGGTTTGTCTTTATTTTTACTAATTTCTACATTGTAGAATAATAGTGAAGACATTAAAACTATGAAATAACACATATGGAATCATGTAGTAACCAACAAAGTGTTAAACAAATGCTTTACTGGTGATACTGTCTGTGATTTATTTAGAATTCAAGGCACACTTAACCAGCATGGCTACGACAGCATTTTGCAGCGATACGCCACCCCATCTGGTTTATACTTAGTGGGACTATCATTTGTTTTTCAACAGGACAATGACCCAACCCACCTCCAGGTTGTGTAAGGGCTATTTGACCAAGAAGGAGAGTGATGGAGTGCTGCATCAGATGACCTGGCCTCCACAATCACCCGACCTCAACCCAATTGAGATGGTTTGGGATGAGTTGGACTGCAGAGTGAAAGAAAAGCAGCCAACAAGTGCTTAGCATATGTGGGAACTCCTTCAAGACTGTTGGAAAAGCATTCCAGATGAAGCTGGTTGAGAGAATGCCAAGAGTGTGCAAAGCTGTCATCAAGGCAAAGGGTGGCTACTTTGAAGAATCTCAAATCTCAAATATATTTTGATTTGTTTAACACTTTTTTGGTTACTACATAGTTTTGATGTCTTCACTATTATTCTACAATGTAGAAAATAGTAAAAATAAAGAAAAACCCTGGGATGAGTAGGTGTGTCCAAACTTTTGACCAGTACTGTATATATAGGCAGACATTAGGTGGCTCAAGTAAAGTTTTGCAGAATACCAGAGCCAAAACCCCAACCCAACTTCACCAATGATTTTATTTCTTGATTTTACAGTATACTTGTCACGCCCTGGCTCTGGGGACTCTTAAATGTTGAGCCAGGGTGTGGAGTTTCTATGTCATATTTGATATGTTGTGTTTTCTAGATCGTGTAGATCTATGTTGGCCAGGGTGGTTCCCAATCAGAGGCAGCTGTAGCTCGTTGTCTCTGATTGGGGACCATACTTAGGCAGCCGTTTGGCACCAGTCTGGGTGGGATCTTGTTCCGTTAAGGTTTGTTTTGTGTAACCTAGGACTTCACGTTTCGTTTGTTTGTTGTTTTGTCGTGAGTTAAGTACTTAATAAAATGTACGCTTATCACGCTGCGCCTTGGTTCCACGAATCCTTAAACGAGCGTGACAATACTGCTGTTGTTTCAGCAAGATTTTTTCTCACTGACTTTCAAAAGACAAACTTGATTCTTGTTTCTTGCCCATAACTTATTCTACGGTACTTCAGGGGTAGTTGTGCAGTGTAAAATGGTTGGTTAGAAGTGTGTCTCTTACCTCAATAGCAAGGAATCTGTTTTCCAGATAATCCATGAGCCCCTGGTAGTAATACTGACCGTTGGTGAGGACGAGGGCTAAGGAGAGGAGGAAGGAGACAACCGTTGTCATGGTGGATAGATCCAAGGGACAACCTGGGCTTCCCGTCCGTCAGTCCAGGTGGCAAAAATACTTCCTTCTGCCTGGACCGGTATCCCTCCGTCCTTGGTCTGGTTGGGTCTCCTTTTGGTGTCCTTATTGTTGGTTTCATACAGTGTGAGTGTTTGTGTATAGCTGTGTGTTGGAGTGTGTGTGTGTGTGTGTGTAAGCCTGTGTGTGTGCCTGTGTGTGGGAGAGTGCGCGTGGAGGTGAGGGACAGAAAGAGAGAGAAGGGCCAGGTTCTGGGGTTTCAAACTCTCTGGCTCGCTCACGTTGCTGGAATGAGCACAAGGAGGAGCCTTGTGCCTCTAGCTCTTTCTGTCCTCACAAAGTGAATGTACTGTTGTACTGTACTCTGAGTGACACTGTCTCTGTGAGTGTGTGTGTGTGTGTGTGTGCATGCGTGCGTGTGTTTGTACGTGTGTGCATGTGTGTGTGCACCAGTGCATTACTGTTGATCGAGAGATAAACTGTTGTTTATGGATTGGCAGCTGGAGTACAACCAAATCCCTTTCATGTAGTTTTGGGTGACTTCTCAGAGTTTGTAGTAATCTGTCTTTGTCTATGTTTTAGCTCACAATCTCAATCACTTCTGCAACTTCTGCTAAACTCTATTAAGTTCACTCAGGTCAAAGGTCATGAAGCAATACTTAACTGTGGTGTACATCATCGCAATCGTTTGGTTAGAACAGTACAAGCAGTGAATCTAATACATTGTAAAAACTTGCAAAGACAAGTGCTTCATATAAGGATCTTTATAAATCCAAGGTATTCCATCATCATATTCAACAGCAATATTCCAAACCGTCGTTTATAACGTGCTTATCTCTAAAGTTCCTTAAAAAACAGCAGGGTCTAAAAATACTGTAACCATGCTCCATAAGCCAACAGGTCTCTCTCAGCCAAGTCTCTGTCAGGCAGGAAAATATAAAGGCTGTAGATCAAAGGCAATCATCCTGTGCAAGACGTCAGAGCTCCCCCAACTGCCTCCCACTGCTCCTCTCTCTGCTCACCCGAGACTCTGGAGTACCCATCCTCCTCCTCTCCCCCTTTCTTCCTCTCCTTCACCCTCTCCTTCACCTCCTGGTCCACATCCACCATTCTGTCTGCCTGGTTCACACAGGTCCTAGCTGGATTCTGGGTCTCGACGTAGTCCATCTCTCTCTCCACGCGGTCCACCCAGACCTCCGTCCACTCCAGGTCTTGGCGTAGGGTACCATGGTCCTGGTTTATTCCCTTTATAAACTCAGCAGTCTGCTTCTTGAAGTGCCACAGCTCTGTGTTGTAGCGGTTAGACTGCTCGTGCCATATGAGCATGCCTGGTCCGGTATCCCTCCTCCCTTGGTCTGGTTGGGTCTCCTTTTGGTGTCCTTATGGTTGGTTTCATACAAAGTGTGAGTGTTTGTGTATAGCTGTGTGTTGGAGTGTGTGTGTGTGTGTAAGGATCTTCATAAATCCAAGGTATATCCAAGGTATTTCATCATCCTCATCATCATATTCAACAGCAATATTCCAAACCCTTGTTTATAACGTGCTTATCTCTAAAGTTCCTTAAAAAACAGCAGCGAGTCTAAAGATAAGCCTACTGCAAACCATGCTGTATTTAATCACATAGATACGTGTGGAGGGGTAAGGGTATTTTAGGCCTCAATGAAGCAGGGATGGAGGGATGGAGAGACGGAGAGATGGAAGGACGGATATATGGAGGGATGGAGGGATAAAGAGATGCGTGTGTAACATGAACAAACTTTGTGATATGGTAATTGGCTCTAGCAGGAGTGACCCCTTCTGGAAACATGGATATAGCTTTGAGTGCCCCTGTATAGTATGTTGTGATATATAAATATCTATCTCTGTAATTCTGTCTTCAATTCCTTCACAGATTCCAGGTATGCTTCAAACGCCACTGAGATACCTTTAGCTGTGCTAACAACTAGATCTAAACAGGCCCTGTATACCAGCCTGAAAGTTCCCTTTCAGTCAGTCAACTTCAGTACAACATATTATGGGGGAGTCACACTCTCGTGACTTCGGTTGAAGGATCTACAATCACGCCTGACAAGGCCAATGAAATCTGTGCCTCGCTGGAAGCCTCGCCTTTCACCGGTGATAAGCGTGAGGCTCGGATTCATTCGTTCAATTATTACGCTCATCACCTTGTTGTGAACAGGAACGATTCACGCTGCTAAAACAAACAATTGGAACACGTTGTCTTACGTTGCGCCAACTCAACTGTCCCTAAGTGGCAGATTGTCCTCACCTCCTGGACGTTGTGTATTGAAGTTTGTATGGTTCTCATAAGTTTCCCAATCCACTACTAGCTATTCCTGGCTCCCCACGGTGGAGTTGCTTGGGTAGCTCTCTTGTTTAGTATACGTAGCTTTGTTATTCTAAACGGACCGTGCTGCGGTCAAAGAGGTTAGCTAGCCTAGCTTAGACTAAAGAGCCTCCTGGCTAACGTCGGCTAGCATGCATAACTTCCGGTAAATGAAGCTCACTAGCGTTCCCCCGGCGCTATGGCAACCACATTCCTATTTTCAATTCCTGGAGTGGCGGGAGTAGAGAGAGCAGGGCTTGCGTGCTCCTCCGATGAGGAAGCAGCACCCGAGCAGCTGTGCCACTCAACACAAATATTGCTGTGACTTTTCTTCGTGTGAATTGCCAGCAGACTACACATTGTGTTGCGTGTTGCTGCCTTTTGCAGGTTGGAGTACCATTGCTGTGACGACAGTGCCCTCACGTTTTGTTATGGCAAACGGGGTACTACGTCAGCCATTGCCGGAGTCCTCTGTGCCCATAAGGGTACCCCACGTTCAATGGTGTTAACGGGGTTCAAGGGGTATATCAATCTCCCCAGCGTGGGAGTAATACGTTGGGCGATTCACTCTCTGTCCACAAGGGGACACTCCTTCCCCATAAGTGGCTCATTACAGGGATTCTTTGCTGATTCCTTCCTGTAGCTCACTAGTACCTATGGGGTGTCTAGCGATACAGGTTATGGGCGTTGTAGGCGATTGGCGGTTGGTAGCGGAGTTGAGGGGACAAGCAGGGTTGGACATTACCATGCTATTATCCCACACAGTCTCTGTGGTTCATATGAAACCTGAAATGAGCTGTCTTTCTCCAGCTCAGCGCTTTTCATTCCTGGGAATTAGATTTGATTACGAATCGTCCCTGTCTGTTACCACAGAAGGGGTCAGATTTTCAGAGCTCTTTGTCCCATTCCCAGCTAGGTTACAAGGCACTTTGTCACCTGTACCTATGACTGGTCGGTAAGCTAACCTCCATGATAACGTTTTTTCCAATCGGGGTACATCACTGATCTCCAGAGTCCTTTAGGCAAACCTTGGCACATAAACACAGTTTTTTCAACCCCAAGTTCCACAGTGTTCACGGGTGTCAAAACTGTAGTGTCTCCCGCATGTGAGTTCGATGAAAAGTGTCCTTCTCCACGTTCAGACACACGGTTATCAAGAGTGGAGGAAATGGAAGAAGAACCAATCTCTCCCAGTCCACAAAGTGGCGTCCTGCCCCTTCAGATGGCACTTCACGGGAGACTCGCTCTTTGCTCCAACCAATGGCGCGCATACACAGTGTCGCCCTGGATCATGCAAACAGTGATGTCAGAGTACAGGCTACAATTTGTTGTGCGTCCTCCACACTTCTGCAGGGTCATGATGTCGACTGTTCCCGAGGCCTCAGCGCCCGTTTTGAGGGAGGAAATATCCTCCCCTCCAGAAGCAGGCAATCCGAGTGGTTCCTATGTTGAATAAACAGGATGGCTGGTACAGCCGGTATTTCCTGCTTCCTAAAAGGGACGAGACTTTACCTATGTGCCTTCAGCAAGCACCTCAGAGTCTACAAACTCAGAATGCTCACTAGCCACCGGCAATTAAAGCCAATTGGCTGGTGGCGTTTGAGTCGAGGGGGCAAGCACTGTTACACACATCCACGCTACTGTCCCGTATTCAGTCTCTAGGCTTCATAAGAAACCAGAAAAAGAGCTGTGTGACTCCATCTCAGCACATTCCGTAAGGGACTTGGCGCTGGTTTTGGAGGCATTGTGTGTTGTCCCCTTTGAGACTCTGGAGTCAGTGGATCTGAAGATCCTCTCCTACAAAACCTCCCTGCTCATGGCTTTGGCCTCGGCCAAACGTGTTGGGGACCTCCATGCGTTAACCAGTACTCAGTTCGCCCCAGGCGACTCTAAGGTGAGATTGCGTCCAAATGTAGCCTTTGCCCCAAAAGTAATGTCTATGTCCTCCTTTTGCTTCTGAAGAGCAACAAAGGTTACATGCCCTGTGTCCGTTGCGAGCTTTACCCACGTACATTGAACATTGAAAGTAAAACAGTTTTTTGTTTGTTTTGCTAATCCAGCTCACAGCAGGGCACTCCCTAAGCAGTGTCTCTCCCACTGGATTGTGGAGGCATGTACCAGCAAGGAGCAAGGGTTACCTAGCAGTGTACGCACCTGCTCCTCTTGTTTAAAGGGTTGACTATAGGAGATATTTGTGCTGCAGCGAGTTGGGCATCACCGCACACTTTTGTGAGGTTTTATTGCTTGGATGTCACTGCTCCCAGTGTAGCCCACAGGGTGCTTACAGCTGGGACAGCGGCATATCAATAGGCAGCGAGCCATGTGTGCAATAGCCAGACTGCTGCATCTGGCGTGGTCAGGTCTGGGTGGTTTGCCATGGGCAATTTTTATTTAGCCCATAACAGTCTAAGCCCTGTCTAAGCCGGGGGTGGAGTTCCACTAAGCTATATGGAATTGTTTTAAGAAGGTCATACCAAGCACAATTTAGCTACAGTATTTGATTTGGAATTTTAGGACACCTTCAAGTATCCCAAATGTGTTTTTACAAATAGTTTCGGCCTTACTGCTTTTAGCCCATACAAACGCATTGAATAACAGATTCACTACATGGAAAAACAGATAGTCCCCCCTAAAAATCTAAAGGAAGTTGGTTCTGAAGTGTCTGTCGTATAGCTGAGAGATATAAGAAAGGAAACATTTGTTATTTTCTTTGACGTATTTAACCCCTTATTTTTGGCACTAAACAGTCTCCATATATACAGTACTTCCATTAATTTTTTCAACTGGTACTGGGGGACATTCAGATGAGTCTTGTGAGGCCTGTGGGCGTCCTAAAGCAACACAACCGACATGTACGTGTTCGTGAGACTCTCACCTTTACACAGAGGGTCATATTAGTGATAAGCCCAACTGTTCAGACACTACAGACAGAAGTTGGCAGATTGGCTGTACCGACTTCAGACGATTCCCAAGACACTTGTGGGGGACGTAGAGCAAAACGGAGAATATCATCGTGTTCGTGAGAGACATATTTCCATAGAGGGGTCATAGTTTGTAGGCCAAACCGTTCGGACGCTACAGACGCTACAGACGGTTTTGTGAGAAGACCGATTTTTGGGATGTCTCATGGTCTGACAAACACAGCTCTAGCTCTTTCACCTTTCACTGCAGATGCGGAAGTGTGACATCAGCTGATGCGGTGGATTGAGACGCATCCAGTGCAAAAAAAACGGTTATCTGTAGCTTAAACTGACAGAATTTTACGGGGAATGTTTTGTTATGATAATTAGATTTCCGCGGGCGTGGACACCGACTCTAGTTAATATCCATTGGGGTCGGCTTAGGGTGTGATTATATTTCCCCATAGTATGTTGTACCAGGCTCTGTCGTAGCCGGCCGCAACCGGGAGACCCATGGGGCGGCGCACAATTGGCCCAGCGTCGTCCAGGGTATGGGAGGAAATGGCCGGCAGGGATGTAGCTCAGTTGGTAGAGCATGGCGTTTGCAACGCCAGGGTTGTGGGTTCGATTCCCACGGGGGGCCAGTATGATTTTTTTAAACAAAAAAATAATAATGTATGCACTCACTAACTGTAAGTCGCTCTGGATAAGAGCGTCTGCTAAATGACTAAAATGTAAATGTAATGTAAATGTACCGAAGTTGACTGACTGAAAGGGAACGTAACGTTATCACTGTAACTACTGTTCCCTGAAGGAGGGAAATGAGGTACAACACCTGTTTGGCCTCAAGCCACCCGTTCCTGGGCTCAGTGAAGAACGCTATTAAATTGAAGGAATGAATCGAGCCTCATGTTTATCACCTGTGGAAGGCGGGGCTTCCAGCGAGGTGCGGATTTCATTGGCCTTGTCAGGCGTGACTGTAGATCCTTTAACAGAAGTCGTAAGAGTGCGACTCCCCCATAGTATGTTGTACCTTGTTTCCCTCCTTCAGGGAACAGTAGTTATAGTCATAACATTACGTTTCCTTGATCCAGCAGCAT